AGCGAGATGAAAATCTAGACCCGTAGTAACAAATATCATATCAAATATCAAACATCTAATCGTAAATACTTGGTTATACCAATCTTGGTGCGTTTATACCTAAATTGGAGCATACGTGTCCGTATGTATATTTCCATCCTGCAAATATCCTTTTCTTTGAAATGTAATTTTGCTATCAAACCGTAATGCTCTCAATTTGTTTCAATTTTAATTTTGACATTCGATATTAATCTTCCCTCTAGATCTATTTGAATCATTAGGATCTGTAGGTATTTGTCACGAAACCCACAATTTCTGAGTCACGACGTGAAACTTTGACTTTAAGTTTTGGTAAAATCTCATCTATGTATGACACTTGTTTCGTGTGAACAGGTTGTTGCGGTTCATATCAGTTCCTCGTTTGTTTTCCACACAATTCCCATTTTCATCTACAACGAGCCTAGATACATTGCGAGTACAATGTACTCTCAATTTCGAATTTAACACGTTATCTTAACAAGTTATTTTCGCGGCTACGTATTTATTTATTCTAGCGGTCTAAGAGTATTTAGATGATTGCCGTCGTGTCAAGTTTTATTAATTATGTGTTTCAAAGGCGTGAAATGGTCTTCAACTGACAATTGACACGGGATCCCATTACGTTAGTACATAGCTTGCGAGTGTGTGAGTGGATTAACAAATTACACCTCAATTCAAACTGAATTTACACATACTTCCTACTAAATACGTGTGTCGTATCACTTATGGCACTCATCGCATTATTATCAAGCCGTAGATAATGCCCATCCATTCTTCTTTCGCTATCTGCAATAATGTGCATGAGAAAATAACACAAAGATGATTTTTGTTTTTTTCTGGGGTCTGAATTAAATAATACTACATACATTTGCATATATGTGTACAAGTGCGGTTGTGGATGTATATTTAAGAACTAAACTATGCAAGGAGTCCGTTTGTGAATTTGATTTGGGTCAGTCCGACAAAAAGGCCAAAATGACGGATTCATCGCAAAATAAATTTGCTGTACACATATGAAGTTTTAGTAATACAATCGACAGGATGTCTTTGATCTTGGTGCGTCCATTGTGCTTTGTCTCAAACTTTACTTTTGCTGAATGAAGGCGAAATGAGGAATAAAAGGAAATCATCTAGCTGGCTGTTGCGAAAAGTGCTTGTGTGATGAGGGCTGAAAGAAGAAGAGACTTCATTGTTAATTCTTTTCAAAGCTTTTTATTGCCTTTCTATCTCATCCTCATTCTCCGAGAGACAAACATGCTGGTTGCTCATAATATAATTTTGAGTTATGGTACAATCTACCCATACTTGGATTGAGTATGTTTTAACTGCTGGATTTGGATTTATTGAGATTGCAAAAGTCCCGTGAGCAAAAAGCATTGAGAACTTATGACAAATAATAAAAAGTGACTCCTTTATACAGCGTAATCTTAAAGTGTTCATTTTTTACAACAATTTAATCATTAGAGGCGGTCAATTTATTACTCATTTTCTAATAGAAACTGTCTATACTGTCATCTTCAAAATATGCGACTAACTAAATAGTCAACTAAATTACAATATTATAATTACCTGTTGTATAACAATTTCCATGTTTTTGGTTTCGAGGCATCAGTTCATTCATTAATTACTTCCGATGTAAAAATTCAATGCTGATTGCGGCAATAATTATTAATGAAAGTAACACACAGGTATTTACAATGTGCAGATACGATATATCAACATCACTTTAAATTAGTTTATTTTTTGCAAATCCAAATTTTCCTGCCAAAACTTTATGTAAATGAAATATAATGACACTACTTTGTTAATAACAAGGGTGAAAACAAGAGCACATTTTTCGAATCAATTAAAATACTTAGTCAAGAACCAGAAAGTCAAGTATGTATGATCAGAGGAAATTGATAATGAGGGATTTACATAATAAATGATACGTCCCACAACTACAGTGAGAACCTACATATTTGATAGTTTCTACCGTCTATGGTGCACACAGATTGCATGCTTATGATAATATTCATCAAATCGTTAGATCGATTATGATGTTCATAAGAATCCTGTAATAAAAAAGTTTACTCATCTGTACGACAGGACGGAAAATGAGTTATTCCTTCGACGAATGACAAACCGCCATGTCCAACACATTACAACCTTTTCCCCTGCAGATGAGCAAATGAAGCTCATAAAACTAGCGACACGTAACAATAATCACTACCATAAAATGACAGTGTTAAGTTCTGGGTCGGTCCGTAAGTCAATGCAAGTCGCCCCGTAGAGGAGACAAAGAAGGAAGCGGAGCAAACACTGCATGCATGAATGCATGAACTGCTACCCCATACATACATCAACTGATCAACCAACCATCATTACTCATCAATAGTGGTTATCATGATAAGTGATCGTGATAAACACTATTAATTAATTATTTTAGTTTGAGAAACTCCACCCACAGCGAGTGGCATATCAATTCGAATGTATTTTTGACGCTGAATCCAACGCCATTAATGGTTTTGACCTCCGAGGCCCCCGTGACCTTCCCGTGACCGTGGCAGCCAAATATGGCTTATTCGTGATGTCGCATATCAATTCGAATGTATTTTTGACGCTGAATCCAAAGCCATTAATGGTTTTGACCTCCGAGGCCCCCGTGACCTTCCCGTGACCGTGGCAGCCAAATATGGCTTATCCGTGATGTCGCATATCAATTCGAATGTATTTTTGACGCTGAATCCGAATCCGTCAATAGTTTGACGTTAATTATAGAAGTTGGGGTTTATGGAACTGAACGGGAGCGTGAAGCGCGGGAATTTAAATAGTTAGCTATGCAGTTACTCCCACACGACGGGAATTTAAGTAATTAGCTATTCAACTACTCCCACAGGGGGAAATCAAATTGTACTGTGACCAGGTTAATTAAAATGCAGTATGACTGGGGCAAACCCTCACTCTGATGTATGTATGTAGTACGACGAAGTCTCCACTGGGAATTATTTAAAGTATAGCATGACGGATTTTTCGCTTTGGGCACACCCCCCACTGGAACTCTAGAACCCGGCCTTGGCCGGGCTATACGCTAGTAACACCATAATTGAACACTGGTAAATGCAACTACTAGATACATGTAATAATGATGATTGAGGATGCACGACCGCATTTTCAATTTCAATTAGGACATAAATGAATGAAACAAGTGTGTACAGATCGACGGGTGAATGTGGTCATAAGTTCGACAAGATGCAACTCCAATCTTTACATGCCAACAAAGGGCAAGTAGTAAAATTGGGGAAGTAGGAAACAAGTTTTTTTTGCACTAATATCTATTGCTAGTGATGCGTTAAGTTTTGTTACACAACTAACTACGACTGGTTGGTTTGATGGATGGTTATGAGTATTGTTTCATTCAATAGTTTATGATGCATATGCACACAATGTGTGTCCACATTAGAGGATTAGCGTCAGAGTTGTAAAGAAGTTTTTATTTATTGCCGGATAAACGTTTTGGGATTTGAAAATACATTATGTAATACGAAAAGAAATTATGTCGCTACAAATAATAATGTTATGTATCATCATTTAAAATGCATCTATTTCTCATGAAAATTATGCATCGACTAATTTTTCACGGCAAAATTATTATATCATTTTCTGAGCTCCTCTTACGGTTCACATACATGTTTCGTTATCAGTCATTTTCGTGGAGAAAGGGAAAGTTGGTTAATTGGATCAAATTTAGTATTCGCTCGTGCGCTCCATTTTAACCCATAACACTCGCTCCATTCGTCATTAGCAAAAATGCATTATGTATGAATGACAAAATGTTGATACCATCTTGAAATGAAACGTGAATAAGTGTGCCAGTCTGGTGATGAGCATTTTAGCAACTGCCAGTCTTCCACAAAGTTATCACAATCGCATCACAATTAAGCTCAACTTCTTCACTCCATCATTATCAACTTTATGACAGTTAATAATATTCAGCATAGTGATTGTTCTCCTGAAGTAGCTTTCAGCACGTTAGGTTATGTGTGAGGTATGAGTTAGGTTAAGAATGCGACAACAATCGTGACCAAACAATCAAAAACGAGAGATTGTTGGCAGAAATTAGCAACGTTTAGAATTGTGAATCAAGCTGGAATAGACATTTATAGGTCGTGCCAGGTCAATCCTAATGCCACATAGCAAAAGATCGGGCTAATATTGCGTAGTCATGCATACAAATCAATACGTTGCAATATTTGGTAGTGCCTCTTTTAGACGTGAATGAGGAGTGGACGGAGATACACATCATGCTTCTGTTGCAACAATGTATTAATGTGCATCGTGTAGTATTTAGCTAATAATTTATTATGCTTAACCTGAACGAACTCATCTTCTCTCCTCCATATCTGCTAAAAGATATGCGTAGATTGACTTTGCCTAATCGTGATCATAATAAAGTTCTAATTGCAATTTAAATACAATGCAATAAGATATATCAATCTGTGAATATTTGACTCGTGAAATTCTCAACGTAAAATGTAATGGTCACCCCACATTAGCCCACCTTCAGAAATTCAACCTTAGCCCTATGCAATCGTCATGCAATGTTTACTTGGTTGCATCCTTTCACATTTTTGAGACGACATGTGAATCATCTTCGCATTTTTGTATGGCTTTACTGAAACGTATTGGGGTTTGCTTCCACTTTGTAAAATTTGCTTTTTAGTATGCAAACTCGAAAATGGAGACAATTGCAATAAAATTTCCACCAAAACTGTTTAATAATTTTATATGCAAAAAATGTTGAAATACGCGTTATAATTCTTGAATGAATGGGATGGATTAAATATAATCAAAGAGATGCATAATATGCAACAAAAATAAAAGATTACGTTAAAAAATAACGTGATAAGACTTGTTTAACAATTTATTAAAAATCATGGACTGCACATAAATTAGTAAATATTATAACAAAATACTTACTATTTTTTTATCTATTTATTCAGGTTTCAATCATGAAGTTCATAAGCCATAGGTTTTTTCTCGTCACACTGAACTTAGCCTATTTTGGACTTCTTGTCGCCGGATTTCGCGATGACCCTCCGCAATTCAATTACGAAACTTTACCAAAGACGTCGTTTAGCTGCAAAGGCAAAGTCATTGGCCGATACTACCCTGATCCCGAAACGGATTGTCAGCTCTTTCACGGTGCAGTAGATTTACAATCTTAAAATAAAATTGTTTTAGTAGCATCTATGTACTTACTTCGGATGATCAATAAGTAATATTCACCTTTTCAGTATAATAATGTTCACTACTTTTTCTAAGCCCAATGCCCATTCTTTGTGGCCATTTTTCAAATGGTGACTCAGACTTCTCGTCGTCGACACCGGTAGCTGCGGTATTAGATCAAATTTTCATGCGACACTAATAATAAGTTATGAAATAATTCTAAGTGGACAAACACTTTTGGATGTAGTGTGATTGTTGAGTCTATAACAAGTTGACTACATCTTCGATGAAAAATGCACGCCATTTTTCTACAAAAGATCTAATGAATTATTTCAAATAAGGTGATTGTGTAAACTTGCAAAAATATATTACTTGCCAGAAACTCATTTACTATTACTTATTGGTTATCCATATGCAGTATGTATATTATAACAACAGAGAATAAGGCTAATTTTATTTTTTATATTTAGTTTGTGTTAAGATGAGCGCCACAAACACGAATGATTTCAAATTTTTATGCCCTAATGGAACCACTTTCGACCAGGTACGACGACGACCAATAATTATTACTGTTATTGAGCCGTTAGTATGTAGGCAAATAATTCATGTATGGATAATGAATTACAAATTATTATTTTACTGCACACCAAGGATCATCAAGTTTGCATGGATTACTACCAAGTGGCTTGTCATGAAGGTACTGGGACAAATCCTTTGGCGACCAATTACGAACTTTTGAAACTTTCATCCATTAATCAGAACTCGGGTCTTGATTCTGAAAAAATCTCATTTGTGAACCCCGACGTGGCTGATAGGAACACACTCGGAGATGACTTTCAAGTTGACGAGTACAACAACAATCGATTAGCTACATCGCAAAACACATTTTTCCAATCATCCAAGCCCAACAGAAAACCATCGTCAGATATTTTTTACAAAAATTTTGATTATACCACAAAGTACACGACTAGAAGGACAACAACAGCCACCACCACCACGACACCACGGCGACCCTCTTCATCGACAACAACATCGACTACTACGACGGCAGCACCCCTCCTTTTCAGAAGCCCGATTCCTTCCAATGCACCAAACAGTGCATCCACCAAAAGAAAACCGAATCTTGAAACTTATGAAAGCTATGAAATTGGTGAGTACATGTATTTACATGTATTTACATGTATAAAAACGATAATGAGTGTAACATTTATTTTCCACAGAATCTGTGGCTGGACTAACTCCGCAAAACTCTTTCAATCGGTTGGGGTTTGTAAATGGGCAGAATCCAAAACATTACGATTATTCATATGAAGCTCAAGACCCTGAACCCGTCCCTTCGTCAACGTCAACAACGACAACTACGACGACTACAACCCACCGACCCCTCGTATTTCATAACACTTTTAGGTCCCCACTTCCATTCTCAAGTTCTACTGCCACTCCACCAATTCAAACATTTCAACAACAAGCATCCAGATTTAACGATGATTTTTTCAGAAAGTTGCCTTCTTCCTCCACTGAAACTTCTGTGTCTAAAGCTGCACAATTTTATGTCAACTCCAACACAAAATTTAGTACCCCTTCAGTTCGGCAACCTACCACAAATCCATTTTTTAAGTCAACAACCCAAGTCCCATTTTCTGCCAAGTTCCAATCTGATAACTTTTCGCCTTCAGACCGAGGACTTAGCAGTCGAGGATCCACAACTTATTATGAAACCTCACCATCTGGAATCAGCAGCACCCCAAGAAATCATGCCATCATAACTGACGACTTTAATGGGTTTGAAAAGTCAAAATTTAGCTCCCAAACAGTGCGTCATCACGAGTCGTCACGACCTGAAGATGATGTCATTAGACCTCGGAGTTACAGTGGCAATACAAATGTGAAAACCAATCAAGTTGTCCATACCCGACAGAACAATGGATTTTCCGCAATCCCCCCGCCCACAACTGCAGAAACATACACTTTCCCCAGCAGCAGCAGCCCAACGACTCCATCCTCCATCACAAATGGCAATCATGCAGCAGTAACCTACTTCCAACGGTTTACTACGGAGAAGCCAGAAAAATCTTCCATATTTTTCTCCAAATCCACAACCCATCCAAAGAAAGATTATTCTTCGGAGAAAGTAAACCGTTTCATTGAATCTGATGCCAGGGTTTCCACTGCCGACTACAATGTCGATCCAACTTCAACTTATCGTCCTCGAGATGTTGATGCAGGATTTGGTCAAAAGGCCGTTGTTTCGCCCTCCTCCTCTCGATCTCATTCTCAAGTGAGACTGGAAGAAGAAAATGCATACCCGACTTCCACACCCTATTCTGTTCCTGAAACATCTACAACAACAGAAAGACCACAACAGCGAAGGGGCACTCGTCGCCGAGTAAACAGGCCAAAGCAGCACCAGCCACAAAATCACAGGCGATTTGATCCAGAACTAAAATACTCGAGAAGAATTGAAGAACCACCAAAAGTCAAGAGTGTGGATAGCAAGGACGATGAGCTGTTTGACGCTGAGGCATCCCAATTCCCAGGACGCCCATCAACTAACCTGTTTAGCAATAAAGAGGAGGCAAGTTGAGACTAATGTGGAAAGTGAGAGAGATTTCATCTAGAAATTAGTAATTTTAACAATTTGCCTTAAATCCAGAAATCAAAAGTTGCTAGCCAAAAGGACATCCATGAGTCGTCGTTTATCAAGGCAACAACTGAAGCTGCTCCAAAACTGGCAGAAAATTATGGAAGAAGAATAAAAGTCAATACCAGAAGGACTTTTGTATCACAAATCCCAGTTCAACAAGAGGGTACGTTACTATAAACCATCAGTGAGATATATGTGGTCTAATTTCATTTTAAAATGGCTAATTTAATGTATCCCTCCTCGTCGCCCGCATTTTACAGTATTAGCCCCTGTTACCGAAATTAAGGAACAGTCGTCCACCGTAGCTCCTCGGAGATTGATCAAACGTCTCAAAGTCAAGGTCACCACCACGCCCGAGTCTGTCTCCACCACGCCAGAGCCAACCAGCACCACTGAACCAACGACCACTGAAGGGTTCACAACCCCAACGACGACTGAATCTTACCACACCACCCTTCGCCCAGTGAAGCGAATCAGTATAAAAACCAAAGTGGGCTCTCGGAAATTTGAGAAAGATTCCGAGTTTAAAGTTCCTCCAGTGATCCTGCAAACTACAAGCAGCCCAAAGTCTTTGTCGGCCTTTGAAAAGTTAAGAAAGCTGGTCACCACCTCCAAAACAGCAACCACAACAACAACACCGGAACCGGAACTAGTCACCGCATCAGATGACGACATCCTAATTAAAAAATTGAGAAAATTTACAACGTCGATTAACAGCGACACCACCAGCGATGCCTACACCACGCCCACAACTTTTAGACCATTTGATTTTCAGAACAGCTCGATTGTCGTAAAAGTTACACAAAAGACGCAAAAGTCAGCAATCCCTACCCCAATTTCATTTAAGGAGCCTATACTTCCGAACAAAGTTAAACAAATTGAAACGAGCAGGGTGGAAGTGAAACATTCAGTGAGAGAAGATTCGACAAAGAGTCCCGACTATGACTACGCATATTACAATTCTGACGACGACTACACAGATGCTTCAAGTAAACTTGATAGTAAAAATTATGGTAAAAAACCTGTAAAAAAGGCACATCCATCCCCAGCTTAATTAATTTGTAAGGCCAATCCATAATTTGTATTATTACTTAAAGTTTATTGTTGTTAAAGGTTTCAAAAACCGACAGAAGCTCATGTTGACTGATAGCGTTACTTTTTTTTACAAATCTTCCTTTTTAATAAGCTTGAATTAGATCCACATTTACGTATATAATATCCATGCCCAAGAATAGTGTGGATAATGATAATACTAAAACGTTGTTAAAACTTTTGAATATTTTCAGTGTTAGGATGGTGAATGAAAGAAAGATGTTGTCTTGCATACTTGTATCCACTTTGAAATTATGACTATTTCCTTATCTCCTCTGATTAAGTGTATGTATATAAATACCTGCATACCTTTTGTAGCCATATCTTTGCAATTAACATTATTTACGGTATTTTTGACAGTGATTTCTTGTTAAACTATTATAGAATGATTTGAAATAGGTTTAGCTGATAATAAAACGTCATTTTGCTTAATGTGCCAATAATAAATAAGTTTGTACCTTACAAAGTAACCAGAAAATCGGAATTTAATAATTTAATAACATTCACTCGGAGTAGTCTTGTACAACCATTAAATGTTAGATAATTCATAATGTGGATGAAAAGTATAAACCCAATAGAATAGGAAACACCTCAAAACATATTTAGTAGCTCCTTCCAAATAACGTGTAGTTTAGTGGCTTTTGACTACACTTGGGGTGCACACATTTTGCATTATCGGCAAGTTGTTTCGGTTGCTTGAATGGCATGCAGAGGCTTTTTGCCCCCATTGCAGGTGCTCCAGGTTCTTCGCTTGGATCTTCCCTTGCGCTATCCTTCTTGATATTCTCCTCACATTCTACACGTCCACAGAAAGGCGACATTATAATATTCTTCTTATCCAAATCAGCACAAAATTTTTTCCAATCTTCCGTAACAATGACGTGAGAGTCCAGCTCATGTTTTGCTCTAACAAGAGGATCAAAAAACAAATTTTAACGCCTTGAACGAATATATTAATAAGCAGGGTCCTTTGACTGTTTCCTTGGAGGATTTCTTGTCTAGAAATCCTCCAAGGAAACAGTCAAAGGACCCTGATTAATAAGTAAACTCACTTTGAAAACATTTCCTTGTGAATGTCCACCAACATTGTGCTAATTTGATCTTCAAGATTAACCTTGGAACCAGTTATTTTTTCGCCGTTGAATCGCTTGACAGCAACAAACTGACTTTTCTCCATATCTCTTGGTCCAATTTCAAGTCGGATTGGAACACCCTGCATATAACCAGAAGGTATTAATTTCTTTTTATGAATAGTCCAAGATTAGTACTACGTGATTTATTTCCCTTATTGTATGGTACCTTCAATTCCCAATGATTGTATTTCCATCCTGGAGAATAATTGTCACGGTAGTCACCCTTAGCTTTCACACCCACTTTGCAAAGACGTTGCTCGTAGGATTGACACTCGTCAAGTAAAGCATTCCTATCTTTGTCAGAGGTTGAAGCCGTTATTCCACATGGCACGATAATAACTTGTACGGCAGCAACTCTGGGAGGGAGGACAAGTCCTTGATCATCACTGTGTATCATAACCATTGCACCTGCAATCCGATAATATAAAATCATGAAAAATTTAAAGAAATGAATCCAAATAACTACGTAAATTCTTTAACAGGCTAATCTAATAATACCGTACCAATTGTTCGCGTAGATAATCCCCATGAATTTTGATAAGCATTAGCCTTTTCACGAGTCACTGGATCTTCAAACTCAATATGAAACATTTTGGAGAAATTTTGACCCAAATGATGAGAAGTTGCTCCCTGAATTAATAATGGCACGTTATATATATAAATACATTTGATTTGTTTATCAAACTTATTAATACGAAGTTATTGCAAATTTTTAAACATACTTGCAATCCACGACCAGATGCGGAAACAAAAGCTTCAACAGTGGTTGTGAAATCCCCACCTAAAAAATAATAGACCAAAACGCATTCTAACCAAACTCGCAATTAATTGCATAAATCCTAAATAGAAAGCAGCGCACCTGGAAATTTCTCCTTTTCCGTTTTTCTTCCAGGTATGACAGGAATCGCCAGCAAATCAGTGTACACTTTTTCATACAGCTCTATCATGTACAAATGAATTAAGATTTAGTTATTTCTATCATTTGGGACATTTCATATATCATCATACAACACACATACCCAGAATTTTGTAAACCTCCTCCTCCGCTTCTTTGTAGGTAGCAAAAGCTGTGTGGCCTTCTTGCTGTAGGGTACAATAAAAAAAATTACTTTGGATTTACTCATTTTCCGTTTGTCTTCTTCGTATAATGATCAAAAAGACAGACATTTTAACATTACATTGCTTCTAATATACTTTACTACTCTTCTTCTCGCAAATTCTACCTTTAACCAAAAGCATAATTTCTTTCTTACCCACAAGAACTCACGGGTTCGCAAAAATGGCTGCGGGTGTTTAAACTCCCACCTCTATAAATTTTTGACAGACATTAGTATGTGCATATGTAAATGCAAAATAGGATTAATTAATATTGAAGTCACAACGTACAACAACATTGTTCCATTGATTGAGTTTGATGGGAAGATCACGATGGGATTGAACCCATTTTGCAAATGACGGGTACATGACGGTTTCCGATGTTGGTCGAATCGCAATGGGTTCTGCAAGTTCCGTTTCTCCACTTCTTGTGACCCATGCGACCTAGCCAGGCAATTAAATCGATTCATTAAATGGTAAATGTCAATGAAATTGATGAAACTATTGCAATATAATACCAACCTCTGGAGCAAAATCAGCAATGTGGTCCTTTTCTTTTTGAAGTGCTGCCTGGCTCACAAACATTGGGAAATAACAATTTTGCACTCCCAACTTTTTAATTTCTCCATCAAACCAATCCTTGATGGACTCCCAAATGGAATACGACCAAGGACGAAAAATGTAGCAACCGCTCACATCATAATACTCTATCATCTCTCCTTTGGTGATCACCTATTACATTATACATACAGTATGATGAAATAAATTAAATGCCTGACTAGAGTGAAAGAATCGAACCTGAGAAAACCAATCGGACAAGTTTTCCGATTTTTTGCAATCTATCCCCAATTTGGTCTGCTTCTTTGCAGATCCATCCCCAGCATCTTTGGGGGCCTGAACTTCTTTGGGCTTTACTTCTTTCTTAACTTCTTTCTTGGTTCCGCTACTGCTGCGTTGAGCATTTCCTCCAGCAGGGGTATAATCTTGACCAGTTAGTGTTTTAAACTGGGCTTTCAAATCCAATAAGACTTTCACAGCAGCATCAATTTCATTTTTTGCTGCTTTAGAGTCCTTCAATTGTCGGACTTTCGTCCCCTGGTCCTCGATTTGGGACTTTAACTCTGGTTCACCAACAGTCATCTTTACTGGTTGAATATTAACGTTGTTCCCTGTTGTCAAACAAAGAGTTAGAAATAAATACAAACCCAAAATAGTCAAATAAACAATCACAACCTTTTGGATCCCAGTCTTTTCCAGCAGCTGTCTTGAAACTTGCTTTCAAAGCTAAGAGTTTTTTGACTTCGCAATCAATTACTTCCTTGGACGCCTTTTGGGACTTGAGCTCTCGTATCTTGTTTCCTACCTCCGTAATCTCTGAATCAATTTTTTCTAATGAATTATCACTAGACACTGTCGCTTGGGGGGTAGGGGGCACAGTCGATGCTACGTTGTTTCCTAATGGCAGAAAACAGATTTTTAACTATGAGTTAAACAATCTGGAAAATCAGAACCGAAGTATTGTATCAATGCATAGTATAAAACTTACCTTTAGGATCCCAATCTTTTCCAGCCGCAGTTTTGAATTCAGCTTTCAATTGAAGGAGGTTCTTTACCTCAATATCAATTACGTTTTTAGGTGCTTTTTGGGACTTCAGGTCCCGAATTTTGTTGCCTTGTGCAATTATATCCGAGTCCAATTTTGCAAGAGAATTTTCAGCTAGTGGAGTAGAAACAGTAGCGGAAGGATCTTGTTTAGTTTGGTTGGGAGTTGTTACTAACGGCGATCCTGTCGATGGAACGTTATTTCCTGTGGGAAGTAAATACAGTCAAGATTTATATATTTTGTGTACGAAACGAAATCCTTACAATCATGCAATATTTATAAATATAAAAATACAGCCAGCAGTGGCTAATACCTTTTGGATCCCAGTCTTTTCCAGCCGCAGCTTTGAATTCTACTTTCAACGCAAGCAGTTTCTTAACTTCCTCGTCAATTATCTGCTTGGACGCTTTTTGTGTTTTCAAGTCTCTGATCTTATTGCCGACAGAAATTATTTGGGAATCAATCTGCACAATGGAAGAATTCCCACTCACTACTGAAGGTGAAGTACTACTTTCTGGAACGTTGTTTCCTGTAACATTGAATTAAAAAATACATTACATTTGTTATTAATATAACTTATTTGGTTATGACTATCATTTAGTATTTGGGCTATTTATTCAAAATATAACTAATTCATAAAATCTGAAACTTTAATAATTTAAATTACCTTTGGGATCCCAATCTTTTCCAGCAACAGTTTTAAATTCAGCTTTAAGTGCAAGGAGAGCCTTTACTGCTACATCAATCACTTCTTTACTTGCTTTCTGCCCTTTGAGATCGCGAATTTTATTGCCTTCTGCAGTGATTTCAGCGTCGATGCTCTTCAAAGATCGTCCAACTGGTGAAGAAGATGATACCTCAGGCACAGCGTTCTCCTAAATTATGAGAATGCTTCTTTAAAAAATAAGTTAACTTTTTTTTCAAATAATTACGACTCGTAATTTATGAGTGGGCATGAGTTCAACTGAACCTCTATAAATAATTAAGTTATGTTAAGTTAGTATTACTAACCACACGGAAAGTACAGGTGATATACAGGAAAGTGAGAAAATTTGTCAACTGAATTCCATGTGCAAAAGTGACATATGGAAACAGGGACAAAACAGCAGCCGGTCAATGATGTAGAAATATGGATACAATAAGCAAATGCAAGCATGTACAAAAGTGAGAGTAGCGTAGCGAGTTGTAAAGATGAAATTGCTGCCAACGTGTCGCTTGGGCAATCACCAAAGTGCTTCTTCTCTATGTTCTTCTCAACCACTTGTTGCGTTGCATGCATAAAAACATTCCACTGTTTGATTTGCTCGAAGGTGATGTCAATTGAATCATAAATTCCTTTAACATCGTATAATAAAAATAATATTGCATGTTCAAGCCTGACTGAAGAGATTATAATTTACAGCTCAGTAATAAATACCAAAAATGTTATGTATAAAATTAACTGGTGCATTTACACTGAATAGTAAAGACTGAAAAAATAAGCAAATCCTTTCTTACTTGTTTTCCAGGGATCTTGATTGTAGGATTTTCCTTAGTCTTCCCATCAGGAATTGCAAATAGGACAACTGGTTGTTCTTGGCAAGTATAGACGCTGCAAGCAGAAAACGCAAGATTCGTGTGCCGGCAAAAAAAATTCTGCAAATCTAGAGAAAGTTATGCAGATTATGTGTATACCTTCGTGGCTGATAGGGTACGTCACAAATGAAAAATCCTTTCCTTTGGAGCTGTATGATGTCGCCTTTTTTCAATTTCTTCAAATCCTCATCTCCCAGCATTGGCACATTAATCTTTGGATTTATAAAAATATATATAAAATTGCAATGCACAAACCGGGTATTTTAGTCTATTTCGTGTTTACTGCTTTGCGTAATTTACCTTTGTATTTTGTCCAATAAACTGCTTGAAATCCTCATCGGGAGTCAATACCGCTTTGGAGATTATATGATCATAAAACACTGCATCAATTGGTGTTAACAAAGATTTTGGAGTGTTTGCAAGCCAATTAATTTTGATGGTGGTTTTGAAATTCTTGTCATCCAAATTCAAAGTCGCTTCAACACGCTGAACTGTAGTTCCAGACCTGTGAATCTTGGCAATCTTTAAATTGCCCCAGTTTATAAAGGTCACGTTTTCGCCCTCCTTGAACAAAATAGCATCCTCCTCCTCAACATATACTACTGCCGACGTCCACACATTCCGCATGCCCATGTCTGGGTTCTTTGGATGTATTGCTGCTTGTAGCAATGTGTCACAAGCATCCTTGACATGAACTTCGACAAGAGAATGCCTCATCAATCCCGTGTGGCGGGGCGCGATGGGATCAATGACCTAATATATAATATACCGTTTCAATAATTTTCGAGGTACCATTATTGTATTATATATGGTCTGTTTCAGACCTGACGGTTAAATGCCCAAATTTTGTCCCATGTCATCATCACGACACTCCTCGAAGAACCTTGAGCAACAATGAACTGCTTCAATCCTTCTACAGTCATTCCACGTCTCAAAACACCTCGTACCGTAGGAAACCGAGGATCATCCCTGCAGAAGCGTATTCAAATAAAACTTGTTAAGGTAGAAGAGGCAGGTTAAAATATGGCTATAGACATAATGAATGAAGACGTACCAGCCGTCAACAAGACCTTCATCCACAAACCAAGTTAGCCTCCGTTTTGAAAGAACAGTATTTGTCAAATTCAAACGTGAGTATTCGTAAATATGTGGCTTTCTGAGTCCTAAGGCATCAATGAACCAAAAATATTGGTCATCTCGATCGTGATACTCTGTCGTCCTTAATGCATGAGTTACTCCTTCGACGCTATCCACAATTGGGCATGTAAAATCATATGTTGGGTATACCCTAACATCAATCCAATTTAGAATTTTAGTTTACTAGGGAAAGAAAAAAGAAAGCAACAAATTTCTAAAATTGTTCAGAAATAACACTGACTTATATTTATCTCCAGTACGAACGTGGGGCTCTGGCTTGCATCGATAAATTGTTGGGTCACGCATGCATCCATTTGGAGAATTCATATCAATCTTGGCTCTCACGCAACATTTTTGACCAATGGTTGTTCCCTTTTTCATTTCACTCCACATTTCAATATTCTTTTTCGCCACTGTGATCAGTAAAAGTTTTTAATTTATTTAAAAATGTATGTAATGTAAAACTGCTAATATAGTAGCAGAACTACTGAAGTACTTAACATGCCAACATACCATTATTTCTGTTTTTGGATTCAATTTTCTTAATTCTTTCGTCGCGCATGACTTCACCATCAGTATCATCGACGTAAGCTTTTCCTTCATTGATTAGTTTCTCACACAATTGCAACATCAAGTCAAAATGGTCAGACGAATATGTAAATCGATCCGGTTTGATTTCCAACATTTTCAAGTCTTCAAGGATGACATCTTCAAAATGTTCCTTTTCTTTTGCAGGATTGGTATCATCAAATCTCATGATGAGTTGTCCTTGAAACAGTTGTTGGTAATATTGGTTGAGTAAAGCAGCCTTAGCGTGACCAATATGAAGATATCTAGTATATTTTTTTTAGAAAATAATACAAATTATTTATAACCTTTTATTTTGAGCTTGTTAACAGAGAATATGCTTACCCAGATGCTTCAGGAGGAAATCTAACGATGACTTTTCCTAACTCAGCACCTGGAGAAAGATATAACCTTTAGTTTTATTTTAGCTGTATATTTTATTTTGGTTGTATTCTCTTTATCTAGGATGTAATATTTTAGCAAATACGTTGCAGATTTGTTTACACATTTAATAAATGAATGTATATAAATTTTCTCATTAATATTCATCCATCTAATTGCATGACAATTTCAATAATGAAATAAACCGTCTTGTCTTGTTTTGGCTGAAATAAATAGCCCTGCATTATATGACTGTTATCATTTTTTAGCGCGAATGTACAAAGAAATAATGTTCAATTCGTGGTGTCCCTTCTGAATTAACTAACATTACTATTAACCTTCCCAATATATACATTTAAATATCAGATTTGAATATGGTACCTGGAAGCTCGACAAATTTTCCTTCATCTTTTTTCTTTCCCTTGTCCCCACCACCATCAGCGCTATTTTCCTTGCCTTCATTTCTTTTCCCTTTCTTGTTCTCCCCGGCAGCAGCAGGTTTCTTATTGCTCGCATGACCAAAATCATTATTTGACGAGGATTTTTGCTGTTGTGACACCTTTTTTGTATCTCCCGATCCAAACTGCTGGTATGGCTTGATCTCATTCATTATCTCCTTATCAGCAGCAGGGATTGTGTCCTTGATAATCGTTTCAATGAAGTGGTAATAGCGGCTGATATTTTGATATCTTGATACCAAATCTTTCTTACCTATATGTATATTGTTATCAATACCATGTTTTTATTTATTTTCTATAAATATATTGGTTGAATTGACTATTTAGAGATGGGCAATCCCAAGAGTTTCGATGGATTACAGATTAATATTTTTTATGGGACTCGGACTACAGGAATATGGATTATAGTCGTCAATGCAATCAGATTACTAAATCTGCTTTATGTAAATGTAACCCTTGGATTGCCCATCCCTCCATCGCTTACGAGATAATTTATCGAACATAGCAAGATCAGCAATTGTGAGTCTATCTGACACAAGGTATGAACAATTAAGCAGGGCTTCGTTCAATAACTGAAGACTTTTTTCTACATTTCCTTTTGTAAGTTGAGAATCAGAAAATGTAATCCAATGATCAATCTGAAACAGACAAAATAGACAAAACATTAATTTTTATTTCAACACACAGAAAGTTGTGTCGTGTACCTCTGTTTTTTCTATCGCAGTTCCACGATACAACGTGGCATCAGCATTGGTGGCATTTATTCCCAGTAACCTTAGAATGGACGCTGATGATGAAGTAGACCCTGTTGTCCATGCGGCCTTTGTTTCATTTCCCCATTGAACATTCACAGACGCCCCTTCAAGCTGCACCAGTTTTGTGGCTGCATAAATTCCTGTATTACAGCAGCAAATTATTACAAATTCTTGAAGCTTCCACTCAACATAAACAAACAAGCACACAGTACAATAATTTATTTTAAGATGTATAAAAGATGAGAGCAATTTTTATGCAATTTTTACCAACTGCGGGATTATTCTTATCCAAGATGATGTTCATCTTCATTGTTCCTGCTTCGTTACGTCCTCTCTTAACTCTCTGTCAACTCTGTACTGATTTTTAGAAATCAAAATTAATTCACTATTCACTATTGAAGAAATGATTTAAAAACTGTTAGAATAACCGGCTGGTCACATTTGAGCCACATTTTGCATCAGATTGAAACTGGTCATATTTCCCCCTGTATTTAAATCCCAGGGGTACAGTAAGATTCGTCATTTCCTTTCCTACACCAAATATGTGAATCAACAATAGCCAATTTTCGAAATTTGTAATATATTTGGAAACAAACATAAAATATGTAAAAAGTGCTAATTTATGTCTGGCCAGCTGGGATTCAAAATAGATTAATCTAAAAAGTCACTACAAACTATTGAAGAGTTACTTTAAAATAATTTTTGGACACTTATTTAATTAACTAGTTCTTATCGCACCTTAATTTGCATAAGAGGGTGGAAAGCACTAAATTTCACTACTTCCTGAAAAACGACGTGATGAATGTGGCCTCCCTTGACGTTTTTCCAATTTTTCTCAATGTTGATCAAGTTTGCATTGAGGAGGGGAGCTTCACCACCTGCCCCTCTCAGATCTTGATGTGCTTTGGATATGTGGTAGTGTCCCATGAGTGTACCAAAACCCTGAAGTGGCTTGACTCCATGGCCACATTTGCGCCCGCCACACCCACTCAAAGGCGCCAAAAACACGAAAAAAGCCCTGTTTTCACTTGTTCAAACCCTCGCCAAAAATCCAATTTTGCTCGGATTTTTGTAAAATTTACATTTTTGTAATCCCAGATACTTGCTTGATCATATCCAGTAGCAATCTCAACTTTTTTGAAATTTTGAATTTTTTCGAATAATTCATCAGTCCGAAAATGCCCGAAAATTTCTAAAATTTCAAAAAAGTTGAGATTGCTACTGGATATGATCAAGCAAGTATCTGGGATTACAAAAATGTAAATTTTACCAAAATCCGAGCAAAATTGGATTTTTGGTGGATTTTTGAAGTTGGTAACTTTTGTGGTTTTCATCCCTTTGAGTGGGTGTGGCGGGCGCAAATGTGGCCATGGAGTCAAACCACTTCAGGGTTATAGTACACTCATAGGACCATACCACATATGCAAAGCACATCAAGATCTGAGAGGGGCAGGTGGTGAAGCTCTCCTCCTGAGTTGAGCCCGTGTCCCGTGTCACGTACTTGTAATATGTACGTCTCCTCAAAAAACATTTATTAGCATACAACTGCAACATAACAAATTGTTATAATATGTATAGTATATTATAAAAAAATAATAATTGACCATCCTGAAATATAGAAGTTATTTCGAAAAATAAATTTTATTCTAAGAAAAAAAACAAGGATTAAGAAAGGGCCATCGACCCATGTTTCAGCTGTTCTAAAATATAAAACAAATCATCAAAGCAAACGTGAAGTTTCTATTTTCAATTTAATACATTTTTTATTATTATTTATCTTGTTTACTATATAGATAATTGCCTCTTGCAATTTACATAGTTCTACATTTGCTTATTTTACTTGCAAGTATAATGAATTGATTAGCTGAAAAGCACAAAAAATATACAGAAATTAGATTGAAAGCAAAGTTTTTGAAGTCGAAAAAATGAACAAATGGGTCGAGCTTGCAGTATCAATTGTGGTATGGTTAATTGTTGCGATAACTATTGATATTTTCATCGAACTCTTAACATACGCTGTTGATTATATTCAGACTGAGTTTATTTACACTGGCTACGAGCTGCAATTTCAGAAATTCGATGCGCCTTCCTATTTTTGAGAACACTATTAATATAGCAACTATTTATTATCATCATCACAGTTTTGAACACACGGACCATTTGAATTTGAAAGTTGATATCTATAACACACAAATTCCTGTTTTACTCCCCGTTCAGTTGAGATGAACAACACTTTAAAATTACAACCCATTTATCTAGGATTTCAACATACTTCTTGTGCATTGTGCGGAGCTGGTGGCGTAAAATTTATGTTTTGTTCCAAGTGTCGTGTGGTTGTTTATTGCTCTAAAGAGCACCAAATTACGCACTGGAAACGCCACAAAAGGTTCTGCAGAGAGCATGTCTGGAGAAAGGACAGTCCGTATGGATCCGTGGCGTCAGCATCCTGTAAAGTTTCGTCGTGTGCTTGTAAACACTGGTACACCACTGCCGATGACAACGACTCATTATTCTTAGCTCAAGCTTCCAGTATGATTAACAATCCTACTTACACTCTTTTTATGCTACATGTTTTATTGTGCTAAATAAATTATTATTATTCTTGTAGATGGACTAAATAGCCTACCATCGTCTTCCTCTTCGACTCCTGTTGTTGCCCGTGATGAAGAAATAGACCAAGTCCTGTCCTCCTTGATACCGGAAGAATATTCGGCATCAAGTGAGGTTGTACTATATCCGGAGAAACAGGAGTTCATCTTGGACTTGGAAGAAAGCCTACGTGAAGTAACAAACGGTGGAGAGAGCACGTACGCTTCTATCCTCAACCCCACGCATGACGATGTGATGGCGTTTAATCATGATATTGCATTTAGTGGCATCGTATCTCCCAATAGTATATCATACGCTGACAAAAGTAACAATCAGTTGTTCTTTAATACTAGTGAATGTGACGAAATAAACTTGACACCAACAAATCAAGCACTACCACCATTATTAGAGCAACATCTGTCCACGCATCATCATCGACAGCTTGGTGGTCGTCCAGGGCTTGAAGATTTAGAAAATCATGCTCCTGTAGCCGTTCAACCTAACGGTGACGGAACTACGTGCGAGACGCACACGCAATCGTCCCAATCGCAAATTATGTTTTCACAACAAGCTGGAGATCAGTTGGTGTATTCTCAGAGCACCACGTTCAACCAAGTCCTAACCCCAGGTCATGCCCATAGTGCTGCTAGCCTTCATTTTGAACGAACTTTACATCCAAGCAACTGGGTAACTTTTCCCCCAAGTTCAACGTCGTCTCCATCGACCTCACTGTCAGTATCATTATCGGTGGCATCAAAGACTTTTGAGGATGAATCCGTCGTGATAAGAGAAAGTGATCAAGGCCTTGTCAGCCCCTCAATGACCCACTCAAGTGCCACTATACCCTTTCAGCATAGAAATAACATGCAATACATTTCTGGGCAGTCCGCTCAGCAAACTAGACTCTGGATTAATCAAGTTTGGGAACAGGTAACATTTTATAGTTGTTATAAATTTGTTACTTATCTTATCTCATTACCTTTCATAAAAAATGTGTTATCACTCTGTATCATCGTCACTATATATTATCAATCACTATAATGATAAATTAATGAATGGTTTGATAATCTGAATCATTATCAGTGAGAATCAGAATGGGCAGAATGTCATTTTATGCTATGTGCAATAATGTGAAATAGTACAAATCGCATTCAGTTGAGGTTTGCATAGATTAATGTGGGAGATGGATTAGGCAATTAATTTATTCTCTCGCATTGACATACCACTATATTTAATCAAATTGCTTCCATTTGAATGCAATTTTAAAATGGGATTCCCTTTGGTTCAACAGGTAATAGAGGACATGGATCACTACGGTGTTTGCGTTGTGGACAATCTCTTGGGAGATGCGAGAGGGGGTGCAGTGTTGAGGGAGGTTCAAAACATGTATTCTAAAGGAGCATTTCAGGATGGACAGTTGGTCAAGAGCAAAGATGGTCAGAGCAAATCTATCCGTGGGGACAAAATCACGTGGGTCGATGGCCGAGAACCACATTGTAGAAACATTTCAGTTCTAATAAAGCTCTTGGATAATATTGTAATGGGTGCAAATAATCGAAATAACAATGGTAAACTCGGAACTTACACAATTAAGGAGAGATCTAAGGTGAGTGAAATATTAATGAAAGAATGTTGCATACGAAAGACGCTGCAAACAAAGCCAAATTCATTAGGCATAGATTCAGAGCTTGAAGTCAGGACAGTTTCTCGATTTGCAATATTCACCCTTGCAGGTTATGTAACTCGCAATTATAGGGCTTTAGGAGATTTTAGACCTGAGATGAAGCAGATATAGATATATAGATGTATTTAGAACTTGTTGGACTGTGTGCGCCCAGCGTTGCACGTACACATTTTCCAGCTTGCGAATGAGAAATAAATGAGAATCAGCGTGCTTTTTACAGGGTCCTAATATCACTCACAGGCTTGACTCATACTCATTCTTTCTTTGCTAAATTTACTGAGATTTGTCTTTATGTTTAGTTGGTTTATCTATTTATTTGTTTAGTTTTCTCAACAAGATATAAAAAACAGAACAAGAATAAGGTTTTGTTCACTCGTCTATTACTCTAACTAGGTTTTAGTTGGGTCTGCATTTTTGGGTTGCAATTTGCAAATATGTCCCAGGGACGATCTATGATTAGATGTTATGCAATTATTTATGATTCCGTAGTGTTATGCATAAGACTAGGTACGTATAACGCAATCGACATATAATGTATTCCAATTGTATGTATGTGTAGGTCGCGAATTTTTTGTTGATCTCATTCAGTCTCATTCCATCCATAATAAGAAAAACACTCATCCAACCTTTATTTAAGACCAATATGACCTTCTTATTAATAGTATTCCTAGCTAGAAATAATTGAAGTTTATCCATTTTCTGTTGTTTTAGGCAATGGTAGCCTGCTATCCTGGCAGCGGAACGCACTATGTAAAACACGTTGACAATCCCAACGATGACGGAAGATGCGTCACAGCTATTTATTACCTTAACAAAGACTGGAGCACACAGGTTGGCTGATTTGTTTTGTAGTTAACAAGTTTCATAACTTTACCATAAAATATAATTTGAATTATTTCCTTCTAGGAAAATGGTGGCCTGCTTAGAATTTTTCCGGAAGGATGGTCACATCAAGTTGCAGATATTGAACCATTATTTGATAGGTACAATTAGAAAAAGAATCCCTAACTTATTAAACCCGATATTTATTATTTTTCTCACCTGAAAAAATTAGTCATTAGGATATATCGCTGATATTAATTTATTATGTGTTCCCTAATACTACTCGTAGATCTCTAAAATTGAAATATTTTGTCAATTTCAGTCGATTTTTTTTTGCAACTCAAAATTAGCCATCAAATCAATAAATAAACCAATAATTCTACGAATAAATGCTAAATACTTTTTGGCAAATATTAAATAACTATTGTGATTATAAATAAATTTAAAAAACAAGGAGCATTAACAAGCTAACCCTAATGAATCTATTAAATCTAATTTATAGAGTCATATTTTTCTGGTCTGATCGAAGAAATCCTCACGAAGTACAACCTGCCTACAAAACAAGGTATATTGATGATAAAATATAGTACTGATATTATAACTTATGACACAATTTATGGTATTTATTTTATGAATTTTGTATGCATTAATCAGGTACGCCATAACGCTGTGGTACTTTGATTCTAATGCAAAAGCAAGAGCGAAAAAATCAGCCGAGGATATTAAGGATATTTCATCTCTGAAAGCTAGCTGAGATGTTCTTGGAATTTTTTGTCTTGTCTGGTATGAAAGCCCCCAATTGTGTAAACTTATCGGATCGGATCGAGAAATTTAACGCAAAAAAAAATCTACTGAAACAAATTTTCATTTCGATGTTGCGCGCAACCTGTTCCACTAGGTATATAGCAAAACGATATGATATGTTTTCTAGTATGATTCAACGATCGACAAATGAGGAGGATATTGCGGTGGATCGAAGTCAACCGGACAGAATTTCTACGCGCCAAAATCACGTGCCAATTTGATTAACATTGGAGGCGGCCCGAAATTCAAATCAAATCCATCCGGTTGACTTCGATGCACCGCAATAGAAATTGTGATGTCTACTAAATCTGTTAAAAATCTCATTCGTTACGAAACACAACTATGATCATCACCGAAGAATCATCAAGCAATCCGTTTTTGAGTTTTTCGTACCTTGTATAAATTTATCCTTATCAGTCAGTGGTCTCATGAGTCGTATGTCCACAACCAACGCATTTCCTTCTAGTAATTCTATGCAATCAACTATCCTACTATTAGAGAAATATAGCAGGATGCTGATATAAAGCTCACCAAATGAGTTATTTACTGATCTATTTCTATTGATATATACTTCAAGAATTTAAATTTTGAGAATTTTATTTGAGGTCGGTGCATGGAATGAGATGTTACTGTGTGACCTGATTTACCGCATAATAATAAGTGTAGACACTAGAATTTTATCTGGACTTTATTACATGTTCAGAACAAATGTAATTTTTTTGAAAAAAATAATGAAATAAATCATAAACAGTCAATTTAATTCTGTTTTTATTGCATCAAATTATGCACACATTTATAAGTAAGCATTAACATTAACATTTATAGTACATTTTTTAGAATTTTGCATATATGCAAAATTCATATATTCAAAATCATTTCAATATTTTCATTCAAGTGAAAAATTCATGCTCCGATCGTATATATTGCAGCGATTGAATGCAATGTAAATTTCGCATTTCTAATTTGCCTATATTATGTATTCTTTTGTTAAGCAAGAATCATTGAAACCAAACGAGTCGTTATCTTGCCCATTTTGGTTATTGGTAATATTTGCATTGTTGTGTAGTACGCCTGGTAAATGATTTAGTTGTGTCTTGGTTTTGCCCACAGAGTTGTAAGCGCGTAGAAATGTAGCAACGAACGAACATTTCTTTATACGCGTTTTCTCTCATCACATCACTGTCGTCCGCCGCCGGTTACTTACAACAACGAATAAATAAATAACCAAAACTCGTTTAATTTCTTTAGTATTATAATTGTCCAACTAGAGAAGTGAGAACAGTGTGATATCCACCGGAGCTGTCCAGTTCCTGCCTTTAATTGCTCATCAAAATTTCTATAATGTCTAACGATCGGATTAAAAACTTTAAAAATTTTGGAAAGGACACGGACGTAGGACCATTTTTATATAATAAAATACGACATTTACTTTAAAATACCTTTTTCTTATAGGAACTGCGAAGAAGAAGAACGGATGCATCTGTAGAGTTGCGAAAAGCTCGAAAGGATGAGCAGTTATTAAAACGACGAAACATTGATACGGATGAAATAGACAACGTACATACAAAAACCTCATGCACCCCTCTCGCTGATTCATCAAATGGAACGTCCTCGACTATTAATGAGAATGTGATCCGAAAAATTATGAAAGATATGAACAGGTGATAATAAAGATATACTAATTCAAAATTATTTCACACGCACCACGCCACAGACACGGTATCAATCAACCGCAATAATAATTTAATGTCGAACCTTATAGCCACTACTTATTTATGTGCAATTTTGTAGCGATGATCCACAAAAACAGTTTGCTGCAACCCAACAAGCTCGAAAAATTCTTAGTCGAGAGCGTCATCCTCCAATCGACATTGTAATCGCCGCTGGAGCTGTTCCCCGTTGCATTGAATTTCTCAAGGAAGATAGCAATCCAGACCTTGTGTTCGAGGCAGCCTGGGTCCTTACAAATATCGCTTCTGGGTCCCCAGCGCAGACTGACGTGGTCGTAAGAAATGGTGCAATTGAGCCGTTTGTCAACCTTCTCCGATCCCGATACCCGCATATAATTGAGCAGTCTGTGTGGGCGCTGGGAAACATTGCTGTACGTAAATAAACTTTCTCTAACAATATATATTACATATATCATCATCCCTACATGCTGTTTATTTTGTAGGGTGACGGTCCAGTTATGCGAGACCTGGTAATTGCCAAAGGTATTGTTCCACCTCTGGTTGCCCTTGCAAAAACAGAACCAAATTCAAGCAACGTGAGTCTAATAATTGTCATTCTTCATCAGTTTTCTTATTATTTCGTATTAATGTCATTTAAAGTAATGTAACTTTTTTCCCTAAAATTATGTAGTCTGCTTTCTTGAGGAACATTACTTGGACTTTGTCTAATTTGTGCAGAACTAAAAATCCTGCTCCTCCACCTGAAGCCACACGACAGTGTCTCCCAGCTCTGGCAAGACTGATCAATAATGCAGATATGGAAATCGTTTGTATGCCCCTACTGATATGCTTATTAGTCTGAACTTTATTGTTTGACTTTATGTGTACATATTTCGCATCCTTATTCAAATTATTAATTGTTGCTTTCAGCTGATGCATGCTGGGCTCTATCATACCTCAGTGATGGACCAAACGAAAAAATTGAAGAAGTTGTGAAATCTGGTGTTGTTCCGAGACTCGTTGATCTGCTGGGAGTTGAAGGTCATAATGTTGTAACACCATGCTTGCGAGCTGTAGGCAACATTGTTACTGGAAGTGATGTACAGGTAGGTTAATTAAAAATAAACCAATGTAACGAATTTATGTATCACTAATGTTAAAAAATAACATGTACTAGACTCAAGCGGTTGTCCAAGCTGGAATTCTTCCTCAACTTCTCAGATTGCTGCAGAGCAATAAGGCCAATATTGTGAAGGAAGCTGCATGGACTGCATCTAACATTTGTGCCGGTACTTTGGAGCAAATTAACACTGTGATCAATGCTGGAATGGTGCCCTTGCTCATTACTGTCTTGCGAACTGTAACGTGACTTTCTGATTTCAAACTTATCCTAAAACGCGGAGCTATTAATAATAAGTATGCTAATTATTGAATAGGGAGATTTTCGGGCTCAGAAGGAAGCTGCATGGGCTATCACCAACATTACTTCCGGTGGTGCCATTGAGCACTTGGTATACTTGTGCCAACAGGGAGCTATTCCAGTAATGTGTGACATGTTAACATGTCGAGATTGGAGAACTATTGTTACGATTATGGATGGACTGGAAAACATTCTAAGAGTAGGTTTAAATTCATTTTATTCACTCATATTTGGTACCTGTTTTTTAAAAATAATTGTTATCCTTTATGTTTGTAGGGTGCCCAAGACGTTGGTCAGCTGGATAAAGTTGCCTGTGCCATTGAAGAATGCGGAGGACTGGACAAGATCGAGCAGCTTCAGTCTCACGACAATAACACCGTGTACAATAAGGCGTACTGTATTATTGACCAGTTCTTCTCAGACGAGGTGTGTTAACAAGCATAAAACAAAACTTTTATCCAGAATAATAATTACGAACTTAAATGACACTTTGTAATAGGGAGGGACTGATGAAAATCTTTTGCCCGAGACAAACGCAACTGGCGATTTTCAACTAACTGTGAACCAGTCGGTCCCAGAAGGTGGATTCAACTTGTAAACCTTTGGATTTTGCTTGACATCGTGAGTACTATACAATTACTTACTTGATAAGTAAATCTTGTATTACTAGACTAAAATTAAGCCGTCTTCCATCATCAAACCCTTTCATAACGTGTATTCAGAGAAATCTGTGAACTTGTATAAAATTAAGATAATCTTTTCACAAAATTAGAACCGTTCGTTAAAACAAATTGAAGAAGTCATTCATTACAATAAAATCCGGTTTTTATTTATTCCAGTTTTTGTATTTTGATAATATTCAGAGACAGCAGTATTCTTAATTTAAATTTAAATATATGCCGTCCTTAAAATCTCCAAGCAGAATAAAATGGTAGTGTAATACATTTGAAAATAACAAACTATTTATTTCTCACGAATTAAGGGCCTGGGGGAAGTTGCTTAGAAATCACGTCAACTTTGACGATAAAATTCAGCAATGCACAAGAGGGCAGATTTTTTAAATTATGTTTAATGCGTTAATCATATCTTTAGATTTTACTTGAGTTTTTTTTGACGATCTGCCCTCTTGTGCAGTGGAGATATTTGGTCGTAAAGTGAGGACAAATTGGCTTAGAATTGCCAAATTAATGGCAGGAATTGCATTTTGAGTATCCATGGAACAAAAGAAACAACTTTTTTCAAAAACTTGAGGGACTTGAGGGAAACTTTTTCAAAAGCAGTGACAAAACCAAAGCTTTTGAACGTCCCATAGAAACGGTGTCAATTAATTGTGGTCGTAACCTAACAGAGCGATAATAATCTTGGGGCCCTGGCAATTATTGTTGCTAACATAAAATCAAGTAAATCTTCCCCCGGGCCCTTAAGTTATAAATTTTAGCAGTCGTATTGTATTTTGAAAATACCACACTCTGCGATACTCATCCCCTTGAGCACAAACCATTTCGACTCATCTCTGATAAGTGGCAGGCAGGCTCTCCTTGCCTCCCACTCTTGTTGTTTCAATAGCGAAGGTTATTTCATGGTGACACAAAATTACAAAAAGCATATACAAATATATCAAATACATATGGACCAAAACTCGTTCATGCAACAAAGGAAAGAAAGGGCATTAGAAGTGTGCAAGTTTGCTCTTCGGTTGCCTAGTGACGTAATACAAAACATCCGTACTCTTTTTACTGAGGGGACGAACGTTATAATGGACTGCATTTACGATTAGTCCCCTAATTAACTAACGCACAGACACTTAAATCGTTGTTGGCTTTGCGAGTACAGGGAAAACTAGATGTTGGTCATTTGTGGGTTGCAGAAACCTCTACGTGATCGGATAACGTTAAACGTGCCTTGCAAAGGCGTACAGTGAAGACAATTCGGGATCTAGGTAAGTGGAGTGATTTTTTTCATGCGCAAGCATGAACGAGTACGAAGTGATAACCACCGTGGGTGAAGGGGCACACGGAATTGTTCTGCAAGCCCGTCATTCCATCAGTGGTGATATTGTAGCCTTGAAGAAGGTGACACTTAAGAAAATCTCCACCGAAGGAATTCCAGGTTAGCTAATTGGGTTGTTTCAAATAACTTGTTTGAAAGACACAAACAAATGCATGCCATTTGTGCTGGATATTATGAGTATTATTGCTGTCTCTTGTGCACAGTGCAAATGGTCCGTGAAATCAAAGCCCTTCAGTGCATTGAGCATGAGAACGTGGTCACTCTCATCGACGTGTTTCCTCAAGGTCTCAGTTTTGTTCTCGTGTTTGAATTCATGCCTTCCAATTTATGGGAGATTTTGGACAACTATCGTTTGAACGGTTCTCAAATCAAGTGCTACATGAATATGTTATTAAAAGCTTTGGAATATTTACATGAAAACCATATACTGCACAGGGTAGGCCGAATTGATAGACAATACAAATTGCTTTACACTCCATATCCACTGATTGATGTTTCTTAATTTGAAGGACTTGAAACCAGCAAATCTTCTTATAAGCAATGATGGGTCTTTGAAAGTGGGAGATTTTGGCCTTTGTCGTCTTCACAATCAAGGTCAACATGTTGCTTATTCTCACCAAGTAGCGACGAGATGGTACCGGTCCCCCGAGTTATTGTACGGAGCACGATATTACGACGAAGGTGTCGACCTATGGGCAGCAGCAGTGAGTGTTGCAGTTACACATAATATGCTTTAATATGCATGATATAATGTGCAATAAGTCAACCATTAGCAATTACTTGTTGAGATTGATCATCAAGATGAACAAATTTAATCCATTACATAGCTTGACTCAGTTTTCCAATGAGGCAGTACTACTGTCACAGTAGATTCGACATCGAGTAAGTGAAGCTAAGCGATGGTGGAAGGAGGAATTTAATATCTTTCGAGATATCCGGATATTTTTATCATCAACGTGACTCGTATTTTTCTTATTGAGGGACTATGTACATACATACAAATATTCAGTCCTTGCCCATTTTCTACATGCAGTATCTTGAATCGGACTTATATTGCCCTTCAGGTTTCCATTTCTTTAGGTGCTCTGCCTGGTCACAGTTGACTGTTTCCTCTTGTCGAAGTGTTGCTTTGCTGAGATGTTTAATTTAAACTGCAAAGTTATTCTTACTACTAATTTATGTAAATATATAATTCAGAACTTGTTGCAATTGGGTGCGATAAGAAACAGTACATGTTTCACCTGAGATTTTAAGCATACTGACCTTTCGTATGAATTTAGATTATTTGTGCCGAAATGCTAAAAGGAGAACCAGTCTTTCCTGTGAGTTAATTACATGTTCAGATAAAAAAAAATGGAAGATGGATGAGACAACGATGAGCCCATTTGTTAGCCAGTTGCTCCCTCGGGTCGATCTCTTTGTTTGTCTTCATAAGTGCATATGTACATACGTACTCTCCATCATTTTGTCTTTGTCTCATCCTGTCGCGTACTTCCCCATTACTTTTCCCGATCCAATGATTCCGAGATAAATCATTCATTGCCGTTTGTTTCTGGGTGTCACAGGGAGAGAATGATATTGACCAACTGTACCTCGTAATCTCGAGTCTGGGGACGCCAGATGAAACTTCCTGGTAAGGCAGCGAATTTAATTGTTATAAAAGACAAAAGTATGTAATGCTTAAAGTCCTGTAACTTGTCATAGGCCTGGACGATCCGAATTACCGGATTACAATAAAATATCATTTCGCCCAATGGACCCCGTCCCTCTGACCACACTCGTCCCATCCGACGTCCCGAAATACGAAGAGTTCATTGGAAGCTTTCTCATATACAATTCTAGTAAACGGATCTCTGCAAAAAGTGTACGTTTTTAAAAAACAAAAAATGGACTACGACGTATTTGATATGATGACGCTATGTGATATTTTTCTTCATGTAAACATGTAGGCCATGGATCACGAATTTTTCAGAACCCATCCTTTACCATGCTCAATCTCGGAACTTCCTCCTCTGCCCACCCTTAAATCTGTTATGTTTAAGGATTTTGATTCCCTTAAGATTTGTGACGATGCTTCTGCTAGTAACACGAGCTCATGTTCAACATTAAAATGATAACATTGAAAATTGTGAAATATGCGTATGTTTACTTGTTATTATTTACAATACCTTAATTTGTAACAAATAAAGTGTTAATTACCACATCGTGAAAAATAAATAGTACAAATTTTATTGTTTGAAAATGTCGTTTGGGTGAAAATTTTTCTGCTTCTAGAGATTTTCCTCAGCGAAAATTATATAAGTACACAACAAGCGAGGATTATATTCTAACGAGAATGCAATGAGACAATGCGTAAGATGAATAATTAAATTAGGATTTGCAGCTTGACTCTACAAACTTCCCTGATCCTTTATTGCAATTATGGGATTAACATTGTCCCCCAAAACCGCCACTTGGTTGATCCCACTTGATCCATCCCTGTTACATATCGTATCGTACTACGTACTGTATACATCCTGCTTTTTAGTACTAAAATCTACCCTTTCGGACAATCTGTCCACGTTCTATACTTCTCCGTGTTTCTACATCCAGGAACTTACTTTTACTTTAAATCCAGTTAATTTTGGGGTACATTTAGGCCACAACACTTTTAGTAACGTATACAACCATGCATAAATGGGTATCCAAAGTATTTATATAGGTAAGCTTATCTAACGTTGGACTCATGCTGCTGGCTCCATATTGTATGAAATTAAACTGCTGTTTTCCGGTTGTCGAAAATTTGAAGATGTGTAAAAGGAAATGGAAAGTGAAAGGAACACAACCAGTTTTCTCATATATAGTGTCGTGCGTACTGACTGAGATGATTCGACGGGATGAGGGGAACATTGTACGCCGTTAGAGAAAGCAGCCCCAAATATAAATGTACACATAACGTACATGAATGGTTTACTACCTACAACAACTCACTACTTTGGTACAAAACATGACATGATACAATAATCTCCCATCTTGCTGGTGGGAGCAGTAAGTGTGTAGTTAGTGTGGAACTTACACATGACCTCAAACTGGACGCCTAAAAATGGTTGACGAAGTACATATTACTAAAAAAATTGCCCATCCATGTCCATTCCGTGATCTAGGCGTGTCCACTGGGTTCTCTTTCTCGACATGCATCCACTTTCCCCAATGGCTGCTATTACCGGAATCAGAATCACCGGCTCACACAGGCCGGAAGAGCGACCGTTAGAGGAAATTGAATTTATAGTTCATCCCATCCCACAAACCATCACGGCTCAACATTTTTTTCCAACATGACAGCACACCGAGCAGAATTTTAGTTGCGTAGGTAGATTGATTTCTTCTTCATGTTCATACATACATTCATTAGATTGATACGTGGGAATATACGTATATGTACAAGCAGTAAAATAGCACTAAAAACTAAATCATGGTTAGCCTCAATATTTTGAACAAACTTTTAAATAGTGACGTAATGTAAGCGAGAATTAATCTTGAGATTTTGATATTTATACATTCGCGTACGTATAATTGATTTGGCTTTATATAGCGTGTCGTGGAATGAGGCGTCCGCATTCTGAAAATCTGTTAGAGCTTATGTATTGTAGCTAACTAGCTGCTGCTGGATATGTATAAGCTTAATCCCTTTGGATCTAGGCCGAGCAGAGTAATTTAAGATGTTTACCTCTCTCATAAATTTGCGAGATGGTGTTTATGGGACATCCAGTCCAATCTCATAAAGATTCCATGTCGTGTCCCCAGTCACTGCAGATTAGTGCCAGGACAGTAGAAAGACGGAGGTTGCGATTAGGGCACGAATTAGAGATTATTTGGGGTGGAGGCTGCCCTGGGTGGGTGGGGACTAAGTAGAAATAAATGTTGCTTGCCACCAAAATCACACAACGCCCGTGTATCTGACGTACGACGTATGAGCCCGTAGCGAAACATCAACTACTCATGCGACCACCTTTGATGGGAAACGAATCAGGCAGATATGTGTTGCTGGACCTCCCTGATACTCACTCTGCCTCCATAAAAGTAAATCGGATTACTTCTTGTCCTTTTCTCCAAAAGGTTGCAGCTGAAATGATTGATTAGACTTTTATCGAAATACCCACTCTCTTTACTCTCAAATTGAGCCATGTTAGAAGCCATGCAACAAAAGTAGGCGTAGGAGGTGGTCCTCATCGCATCACACTCAGTCATCAGTCACATGACCCATGACCTATTCATCAAAGAATTTCTTCCTTGTAAGACAGTTGACACTATTAACTTTGAATCACTTCATATGGAAAATATAAACAACTTTTTTTTCATGTACTTGCATAAAGTGAAACATATTTTCAAGGGTGACATAACAATCAAACGGCAGCTGCCATCCATAAATATGACAATTTTTTATACGTATCTTGGTCTTACAACAATCAGTGGAATTATAGCCTTGAAACATGTACTCGGTCAGTTACATAATTGGCACATGTGAAGGATGTCAAGTTGACAAAAACGCCTCTTTGTTGTCAAGCCCAGAATCTTGCTACACACGTTTTCCATAATTTGAGCCGCAACAACTTACCCTTGCCTCAGGGCTATGCCAGGTTTTTATGGTGAAAGTTTCACCCCACTGTCTCGAGCTACCTGTTCATTATCTCATATTTTTCTGTATTTGTGCAACCAAAGTTGATGCCTCTGCCAACATTCATCGCAATTTCCTTACTTCATTCAACCCTGACAACCACAAAGAGCCACAAGGTGGTGAAATTGTCAGGTTTGTTTAGTAAAGTGAAAGTGAAATTAAGAAAGTTGTGCAAGTCGAGAGACAGTTCTTGGAGCAACCCACCACAAACTTTCATCGTTTCTACTACTCGACACATCGTTTCTAGTTTATGTTGGTGACTTGACTCCTCTGAAATCCTGGGAATGTCGTATGGAAAAGAAAAGTCAACCCTTCACTTTTTGAGTGCTCAAGGTATCACACATAAAGAAATGTCTGTAATAAAATGTGGACGAAATGAAATGAGCTGGGCTGGGAGGTAGATGGAAGGTTATCAAAACCCATGCGACGCCGACGGTCATTCCGCTGCACGGAAACAGAAAAGATGTGTCAGTCAAAGCAATCATCGTCTTCATGTCATTTTTTTACGAGCCACGTGCAACGTTGACTTGACATTGAACTCACAATCACGGCAGTTATTATTATCCTTCTTTAAGAAAAAGTGCGTATATATTTATGCCACGTTGCTCCAGATGAACGTGGCTCTAGCTTGTGGTAGGGTAACTACTCTCGGCTACATCCATACTAACTTTCACTAGAAAAAATTTGGTAGAAGAGAAAAATGGAGAGCAAGAATCAAAATGGGCATTCAAATAGTATTTTGTCGTCCATATAATATAATATAATCGATACTGAAGCATTAAAAGTTTGCATGAATCCAAAGAAAAGTGATTATAGTGGAAAACCCTCGAGAGAGAGAAAGAGTTTTGGAAAATCGGAAGCCAATTCCTTCCCCATCGCATTATATTCCACTTTTGCCTAGTTGGTATTGACTGAACACTTGGTTGGCTTCCTGTGCTGGAAGAACATGTTCATCATTTATTTTAGGTCGCTGTAGTACAAATAGTAGGATTAAGAAGTGTACGTAGATGTGCATATGCACTGGAATAAATCGTGTGGTCGTCGATCTGAAAAAGTTTGAAGTGGTTGGTTTTTTGACCGTTCATGCAGAGAGAAAAGTTGGGGAATTAAATACTACCTATTCCTAAGGAGTATATACCCTAAATGGCTACAACGATTGATAAATTAGAAAAAATTAGTTTTACAGAAGCGATACATAATATGCACAAGTTTGTATTATGCACTCCTCTCTGGGTAGACTGTTGGCAATATTTCCACAAAATATACAGATTTATGATTATATTAAGATAATATCTCAGTGGTTATTTTTTATTAAAATGTGGAGTACGTACTCGACTAATTAGTTCTGACTCGAATATCTCTTTTCGGCTGAATAATTTCCAATACAGTTGAGCAGAATTAATTAGAATAGTCGTACCTCAAGTAGGAAGTAAGCTTATGATTTCCTTATCTTTAACATACACATTTGAACATATGTACATGTGTGGATTCAGTGGATACTAACCACCAGCCCCATGCACTACTTTCCCTTCCTTCGTATATTGCTAAAGTCGGCGCAGTTAGTATAAATATTTTACCTATTCCTCCCTGCTCAACATCAACACTTTAGAGTTTAGAGCATCAAGTTGACTTTGATCTTCAGTCATTTGGGGCTTTCACTTTCGCCGTGTGCAGCAGTGCCTTACTTCCCTTTCCTCCTCCTCCCTCCTGCCACTGCTGCCTGGTCCTTTCCAACTTGGTCGACTCGTGCAGCTACGACAAAGAGAACGCTGAATTTTCCAGCTGAGGTTGTGGTCTGCCCCCAAAACCACAACGAACCTTAATTTGAAATGGGAGGACTGGATGCACATTCCTCGCATAGTTAATATTTGTGCACCACTGGATATTATTGCTATGCGGAATTTATGCTTTGACTAAAATCACCACTTACGAGGGGTGCCAAAGCCAGGGCAATTTTAGAGTTTGAAATTAAATTAAACTTGGAAAAATTTGCACACTTATAAATACGTAAGAATTTATAAACTTATTAGGTCAAATTTAAGCATGTTACATACATACGTAACAAATATGTACATACGTCACCATTTGCATCTGGTTAAAAAAACATAGAAAATTAAATAAGATTACCAATAAATCAAATATCCATTCTAAATTTTAGCACCCCATATCTAAACAAAGCAGTTTTGTACACCTTGTAGAAACGCAGCTCGATGGTTTTATTCATTGACCACTTGTTTGTTCGTCATCATTTTTCGTTTTTGTCTGCTTTCTGTGATTGGAGTCCAATATGTGCAAATGTGCACAAGTGAAGAATGGTATGACAATAGGATGAACAAATGAATATGTGTATCTTCTATAAATCATGCATGATTTAACGAGTTGTATATATATATGTATGTACATACATATATAAGTATTTATTTAATGATTCTTACAAAATATTTGACAATTTCATTATTATTAAATTACATTATTAAAGCTGCTGTGTCGCATCATCATATATAGGAAGGACTTTGGCTAACTGTTAAACAACAATTCAAGATAATGAACAATTCAAGAAAACTTCAAGAGGGCTACGCCAATATTATTACGGATTCTTTATGTACACAAAATTGGGCAAATTTTAAGCCATCATACATAAAAATCGTTAGATCGCGAAAAAACATTATTTCATACCCTATATTACAAACATAATGAAAGGAAAGAAAGGAAAAGGGATCATGAAGCCTCGTGACACAATAATATAATAAAAATCTGTGTCGTATAAAAATCCTCTACTTCTTAAAATACTATACAAATATGCACTCACTTAAGCTGAAAGTGTGCTCTTTCCGTGTATTATTTTGACGCGAGCAAATTCAAACAATGAAGCCAACTACATTGTACCGAATGTAGCGTGTGTGTATGCATACAGGAAGGGTGGCTGGGTGTCTAGTGAGGCGCGTGTAAGTAGGTGTGTGGTGAAAATTAACTTTTTTTATGGAGAGCCAGAGAACTTGGTCTGGTTTAGCTTGGGAGACTGGCAGGTCAATGTTTTGAACAAAACGCTGACCAGATTCAGAGTTCCATTTGTCCTCTTGGATAAGGGATTCATCCCGGATTTAACCCTTGACGATTGAAATTGTCCTTGTGTAAAAATGACATAATTTGTAAATTCCATCTCCCGACTTGACGAGTGTGCATACCTCTTTAAAGATTCGGTAATGATATGCCCACGTTTCCGTGCCCTGCATCAAAACGCCACGCTGCACATTGTTTTTCCAACGCCCACTGCACCCCGGCGGCTGACCAGTCGAAATTTTGTTTCATTTTTAAATCCTTGTTAAGGCCATGCGTACGCGCTTAGCCTCCACTTGGTCGATTGGTCTGGGAAAATGGGCCGGATTTTCTTCCCCAATTTGGAACAAAATTTCGAATTCTGTAATAGGATATTTCGACGGTGATTTTGATAATCAAGACAATTCCAACAAAGGAATCAAATTTTGGAGTGGTGGAACTGCAGTTCGAATTGAGCATTTGAGAAAGGTTACAAATAAATTTCGAATTCAGTAAAAAAATACTCTCGTCATCGGGAGATATTCACAAACCCATGAATTGTCCACTTTTCAGAAAAATAGCAGGGTGGGCGACTTGGTGAAAGTCATCCTTCACGGGTACCCAGTCACATTGCAGGACCTCAAAATACCGCTCCACAAGATACAACTACTCGGAAATAGTGGAACCCAGGTACATATTCATATATTTCAAAACCAGAACAATTGCTCTGACCTTTTGACCCATTGAATTTCATGGATATGCAGATTCTTGTCTGGCGGACAGAGTCTCTTCAACAACCCTTCCCAGCGACCCTACGCCTCCAACCGGGCTACAGTAATTCGAACATGGTCGACCTCTGGAAAAATTTCTTTACCGTAATGTATGACCAAATTCCAGTAGATGAAAAGTACAGAGAAAAAAATTACACTTCGTATTTGTGATATATGTATTAGTGAAAGTCTCAAAACTTTTAAGGAAAATGTTGCATATTATTTCATTTATTTGATTTTTACGTAAATAATGGTGCACATTTTATAAGTTGATAAGTGAGTCATATTTTTGCTTGAAGTATAATACTATGGTTAGTCGTGAAAAAGTAGAGTGATTGATTAACTATTGAGATTATATGGTACATTAACATTTGTTAATTAAATATAAATTTAGTAATTTTTGAAGAAGCTCATTTTCTCAAAATAGCACATTTGACATTCTTTCAACATAAAAGTTTTAGTCTGAGGTATGTTCATTTTCTCTTGTAAATACCCAAACTTGTAGCAATTATGGGCTTAATAAAATCAATACGAGGTCATATAAATATTATTAACAAACTTAAAATGTAAGTCATGACGGAAGGAAGATGAAATTTAATAAAGACTATGAGTCAGTTACCTCCGGAATTAAATATGCTTAATGTTTATGAACACGAGTTGAGATTTCCGGTTCCGTTGTTGTTGTTGTACCCCAGCCTGTACCCTAGCCGCTGTATCCATTGTCTTTCAGTGTCTTTGCGAACTATATCTGATGAGAATCCACCTTCGATGATAGTGTAGCGTCGGTCCTCTTTGTGATGGACAAAATTGAAATGAACATTGACATTCTTCAATCGAAGATCCTTGTCTTGGATCGCTTCTTCTCCGTTCCGTCCTAAAACCCGATCGATGTGTTGTCGAAGTTCGGGAATAGACGGATACTTCTTTTTCCATCTATCGCTCGTGGTGTCTGCATGACCATTCATTCTTTTATGAAAGTTTCGGTTCTATATCATAAATCAATAAGAACTTGTATTATGTACATGAAAATGGCGTCAGTTCACGAGGACTTTACGAGACATTAATCAAACAGGTGCATAGTTAAGTTTAAACAATTACATTAGATTCTCCTACGTATGATGCCCAGTTGCCTTCATCCAAGCAACGTTGACAGTAGATTAGGTATACGACGTCGTTAGAACAGCAGGTGAATCTTCGATCCAAGTGGATGACCTGGTCGTCGGATGGACCCCACTTTACACTATTCCTTGACGTCATTAGTTGCTCCTGGGTGCATAGTGAGTCACGGCACCAATAAGTACCCGGGCCCAGATATCCAAATTGTGCGTTTTTGTTGATATTTTCCACGATTTCTACACAAAAAAATACGACAAAATAAAATAAGTTAAAGTATTACGCGCATGTTTCTTTTCTCTTTAAACTTATTTACTTACTAGACTCAGTGAATTTCACACGGGTAGTTGGATCGGTAACACGTAGTGCAAAGTTTGGTGTTGTGGTGTTCCATGGTTGTAATGGGAGGTCATTTTCGTAGACATTGTCGGTTTTGGTTATCTTGATCCTTCCTGGTGATCCAAGTGTCACTTCGATTTTCTTTAAATCGGACTGGAAAATTCTTCGTACTAAAGACAAACGCGTACTGTTAACAAAACCCTTGATTTGTTGGTTGGTTTTGGTGGTGTTCCTCTCGACATTGATGGAACAGTCGATCCAGAAAGATTTTTTGTCATTGTCCATCATCCCTGCTATGAAGGCCCGTCCGACGGGTGTACTCATGAAGTCGTCTGTTGGAGGCCCCCTGGTCATGACATGTCCGGAGTCTGGGTCAAATGTCAAGACAGGTCCAGTCCAATTTGAGGGGAGGAATCTTCGCCATCCTAAAAAAGTTTTTGTTGATTTTAGTTCACGTGGACATTTCTTAAAATCAATGCACAAAGTTTGTTTTAATTGTACTCACCTCTTTGTTCTCGTCCATTCACTGTGATGGAGGGTGGTTCGGGAATTGGCAATCCAGTAACGTCGCACCATTCCCAAAGGTTCAGGATTTCTGGATTCGGATGATGATTTTATGATGGTGATGGTGATGGAGAAGCAGCATCAGCAGCAACAGGAGCAACAGCAGGGGGTGGATCATCGTGTCGAACCATCTTTGAAGTAGAAGGTCCGTCAGAAATTTGCACCAGCTTCTCGGCTGCGGCTTTGCGTTTCGCCAGAAACTTGTTCCACCGATAGCTTGCGACCTCATGCTCTTCTTGTAGCTGAGCCAAGAGCTCGTCTGACATATCGTCATCAGACTCACTCATGGTCCTCGTGAACTATTTAAAATGTAATAAATACATCATTTTTTTGTTTAATAGTTCACGTTAACTTTTATATAAAAAGAAACACTTTGGTGCTTACCTGGTCACGGTCGTTGATGAATGAAGATAAGTTGCAATGATAAATTGTTGAATTAAAAAATTTGATCCGTTGTTGAGGAACAAGTAAAAGAACGTGTGTCTCTTGTGGAAGACAATCTCCGACTGAGGGATAAAAGAAAAACGTTTCGAGCAGGAAATACTGCAGACAAAGGAGAGCCAATCAGAGAAAGGCGCGTCGGATGCAAAGGAAGTTTAAAAAATCGTCCAAGAGGCAACTTGAGACATATCCTCCAAAACAGTAATTATACTCTTCAGTCTTTATGTTTGTTTCATGCACATGTCGTCTTTGAATGAAGCTTTAATTATTTTTTAACCATCTAATTAATTTCTATACATTGCATTTGCATAATTTATCCATTACACAGTTATATTTGAATAAGTTCACGTGGACTTGTCATCGTTGTTTCATTATTTGCAACCAACAATTGAGAGCGGGGGATTAAAAGTAACGACACTTGCAAACACTCACGCCAACTTTGTGTCGTTGTTCTTGAGTTTGGTTGTTGCGTTTGGATTAATTTTAAATAATTGTCCACGGGGATTTAATTATTTTAATACGCATAGGTTTTTTGCTTGTTTCACGCATAAAATATGTATTCGTCCGTCGAAATTGTCAATAAATTCCTGCAAGTAATAAAAATTAAGACGACTAAGAATAAAGGTTGTCGTGTTGCAGAGGAGGAAAAAAATTCTTCTGGAGAAACGCCAAAAGGAGACAAAAAGAGTACATAGTTTAAACTTCTATTACTTATTTACTTTATTATTTCATTTATTTATTTAAATATTCCGAGATATTGTGCAAACGTATTTGTGTTGTTCACGTGAAATTTTACCACTTGTCATTTGATATTCAATTGGTTTAACTCATCATTTTGATATTTTTACAGATGTTCCCGGATCCTGGCACGCCATGTTTTCGTAGACGCGAGTTCGTTTGGACTGATGCCATCGTCTTTGATTGTTGATGTTACCACATAACCAACAAACAAATTCTCCTACAGTAAATATAAAAAAAATGTACATATTTCAAACACATTCTGTCAGCCGAGTCAATGATAGTCAATTTGTACCAAAACTTGCATGATGAAAATTAAATTGTCTATATATTACATCAAATTCTGCTTGAATTATTACTCGCATCAATTATTTATTCCACGTGAACTAAACAGAGCGCGGTTCCAAAATTATCATGAAAGTTTCTACATTAATTAAGTTACAAAATAAACCAACAATGAGAAAATTCCTTGCACTAGATTTAGAGCTATTCCATTTTCAAAATGAGCCTGAATTTTGCATATGACCATATTCATGAATTTTTTAAAAATGAACTAAACAGAGCGCGGTTCCAAAATTATCATGAAAGTTTCTACACTAATTAAGCTACAAAATAAGCCACTAATCATAAAAATCGTTGCACTAGATTTAGAGCAATTCCATTTTCAAAATGAGTATGAATTTGCATATGACCGTATGTATGAATTTTTTAAAAATGAACTATAGAGAGCGCGGTTCCGAATTTTTTATGATAAGTTTCTCTATTAAATATGCTGTAAAATAAACCAACAATCATCAAAATCCTTGCACTAGATTTGGTGCTATTCCATTTTCAAAATGACCATGATTTTGCATATGACCATATTCATGAATTTTTTCCACGTAAACTATAGAGAGCGCGGTTCCAAATTTATCATAATAAGTTTCTCTATTAATTAAGCTACAAAATAAGTTACTAATCATAAAAATCGTTGCACTAGATTTAGAGCAATTCCATTTTCAAAATGAGCATGATTTTGTTTTCCGCATTACAATTCAACATATTAGAAGTACAAATTGAAAGAGCTTATTGAAGATTCTGATGAGAAAATGAACAACAGAATAAAATATCGATGAAGCATATTATAAGAAATAAAAATTCAACTAATCTTCTTCGTTACATGTGGGACATTCCCATTTCCATTTGGGAACCATGCTTAGACCGAGGCACCTCAAGTGGTACCATTTTCGACAAGTATCACATGGCACAAAAAAATCTTTGGCGTAACTGCAGGGGCCAGACATGCTGCGGCTGCACAAATTCCATCCTCTTTCTTTTTCTGCTCATCAGCTTTCTCTTTGCCCGATAGCTTTTCCTTCTCCTCCTCGTTGACCGACTCTTCTTTCAAGACCAACAAATTTTCGGAACTTTGGTGTCGTTCAAAGATTGAACTAGGAGATATTTCTGTAAAAAAAACAAGTTAAATTATTGCGAGATATGCAAATCAGTAGAACGAAAAATGTGATATTACCAATTGCCATAATCTCGACGATCTCACCACTGGACAAGGCAAGGCCATGAGTTGAAGAATGCACCGGCGGAACGATTCCGACGGCACCTGTTTTTCCTTCGAACAAATCTGTTCTATAAAAAAACATATGAAAAAAATTGAGTATCAAAAGAAAAGCAGTAAAAGTTCACGTGAACAAAAAACAATGGATTCTACATAAACAGAACTAATAACAAAGATTAAAATTGAATAAAAAGTTACTCTTTATTCTCCAGTCTAAGCTTGTCCATCAGATCCTTCTTCTCCTCTTCGATAAGTCGAGAATCTTGATCCTTCTCTTTGTTCAACTTTTTCACCCGGAGCAGCTGTTTAGCGGTCTTATCATAACAATCTATCCTCCCGACTCAAAGAATAAGTTAAATTATTTTTTTAACCACGATATTAAGTCCCCGTGGACAATTATTTAAAATTTAGAGGCAACAACCAAACTCAAGAACAAAAATGGGACAAAGTTGGCGTGAGTGTTTGCACGAGTCGTTATTTTGTATCCCCGCTCTCAATTGTTGGTTGCAAATAATGAAACAACGACGACAAGTCCACATGAACTCATTCAAATATAATTGTGTAAAGGATAAATTATGCAAATGAAATGTATAAAAATAAATTAGATTGTTAAAAAATAATTAAAGATTCATTCAAAGACGACATGTGCATAAATAAAGCATAAAGACTGAAGAGTGAAATTACTGTTTTGGAGGATATGTCTCAAGTTGCCTCTTGGACGATTTTTTAAACTTCCTTTGCATCCGACGCGCCTTTCTCTGATTGGCTCTTCTTTGTCTGCAGTATTTCCTGCTCGAAACGTTTTTCTTTTATCCCTCAGTCGGAGATTGTCTTCCACAAGAGACACACGTTCTTTTACTTGTTCAGCCACAACTGATCAAATTTATTATTGCAACTTATCTTCATCATCAACGACCGTGACCAGGTAAGCACCAAAGTGTTTCTTTTTATATAAAAGTTAACGTGAACTATTAAACTCGTCATTATGTCAGACAATAAAACTGATATATATTTATGACATTTTAAATAGTTCACGAGGAAAATGAGCGACACCGATGACGATCTATCAGACGAGTTGGGCGCTCAGCTCCAAGAAGAGTACGACGTCACTAGTCGCCGACTCTCAATATGTTTGGCGAAACGCAAAGCCGCAACCGAGAAGCTGGTGCAAATTTCTGACGGACCTTCTACTTCAAAGATGGTTCGACACGATGATCCACCCCCTGCTGTTGCTCCTGTTGCTGCTGATGCTGCTTCTCCATCACCATCACCATCATAAAATCATCATCCGAATCCAGAAATCCTGAACCTTTGGGAATGGTGCGACGTTACTGGATTGCCAATTCCCGAACCACCCTCCATCACAGTGAATGGACGAGAACAAAGAGGTGAGTACAATTAAAACAAACTTTGTGCATTGATTTTAAGAAATGTCCACGTGAACTAAAATCAACAAAAACTTTTTTAGGATGGCGAAGATTCCTCCCCTCAAATTGGACTGGACCTGTCTTGACATTTGACCCAGACTCCGGACATGTCATGACCAGGGGGCCTCCAACAGACGACTTCATGAGTACACCCGTCGGACGGGCCTTCATAGCAGGGATGATGGACAATGACAAAAAATCTTTCTGGATCGACTGTTCCATCAATGTCGAGAGGAACACCACCAAAACCAAAATTCAAATCAAGAACTTTGTGGCAAATACGCGTTTTTCTTTAATACGAAGAATTTTCCAGTCGGATCTGAAGAAAATCGAAGTGACACTCGGACCAAGAGGAAGGATCAAGATAACCAAAACCGACAATGTCTACGAAAATGACCTGCCACTACAACCATGGAGCACTACAACACCAAATTTTGCATTAAGTACTATCCATCAAACTACCCGTGTGGAATTTACTGAATCTGGTAAGTAAATAAGTTTAAAGAGAAAAAAACATGCGTGTAATAATTTGTCTTATTTTATTTTATTTTATTTTAACACTTCTTGTTGTGTAGAATCAGTGGCACGTATAAACAAAAATGCAAAGTACGGATATCTGGGCCCTGGTACTTTTTGGTGCCGCAACTCTCATTGCACAAATGAGCAACTAATGACGTCAAGGAATAGTGTAAAGTGGGGTCCATCCGACGACCAGGTCATCCACTTGGATCGAAGATTCACCTGCTGTTCTAACGACGTCGTATACCTAATCTACTGTCAACGTTGCTTGGATGAAGGCAACTGGGCATCATACGTAGGAGAATCTAATGTAATTGTTTAAACTTAACTATGCACCTGTTTGATTAATGGCTCGTAAAGTCCTCGTGAACTGACGCCATTTTCATCTACATAATATAAATCATTATTAATTTATGACATAGGACCTCAACTTTCATCAAAGAATGAAAAACCATATAGACACCAAGAACCAGAGATGGAAAAGAAAGTATCCGTCTATTCCCGAACTTCGACAACTCATCGATCGGGTTTTAGGACGGAATGGAGAAGATGCCATCCAAGACAAGGATCTTCGATTGAAGAATGTCAATGTTCATTTCAATTTTGTCCATCATAAAGAGGACCGACGTTACCTCCTCATCGAAGGTGGATTCTCATCAACTATTGTTCGAAGAGAAAACGAGAAAAAATGGATCAGATTATGTGGTAACGGACAATACAACAAAAGTAATGGAACCGGGAACTTAAATGTGGTGTTATAGAAACACCTACAGTGTATAGGTAGTACGAATCTGTACAGCTGTGATTTGAAAACAATTTCCTTGTTTTAAATTAGCAAGGATGTCAAACTATTTATATTAATTTGTTTATAACTATTGTTTGTAACTATTGTTTATAACTATTGTTTATAACTATTGTTTGTAACTATTTATACTAATTTGTTTGTGTCATTACCACTCTACGTAGTGATAACCATTATACAAATGCTAAAAGTTTCCACCCAGATGATCTAATGTAAGATCTGGTTTTATGATACCATTAGTGACATATGTACTCGTTTCGCTCCTCCCGTAGACTTGAAATTCATAATGAAATTTTTTTGAAATTTTTTTAGTATGTGAACTTCTTACCCCACCACCATTCTGCAAATAAAAAGATGCGTAATAAATTTATGATCAGAGATCAAAAGTTTAACAAAATCAAAGTCCCTATCAAAGTTGTCTTCACAAATAAGGTTACCCAGAGCGTAAACTCCACGTACAGTAAATGAACGGCCACAACCTGAGTAAATAATTTATTACAAAATCTGGTGGTGTAATAATTTGTAATAATACAATAACGGGAACTACCTGATTCCCGAGCCACACGTCGAGAACCTGTGTTTATTAGGAAATTATGGTTTGAAAAGTATTTATGACCTATAAATTATTACGTTCATCCGTCTCGTAGGGTTGTATAAGCTCTTCCTCTTAAAAGTCAGGACACAAGCACCGTTCAGATTTTTTATCTTGACGACGAACCCATTTTGAATTATGGTTCGGTTCCCCTTGTAGAGCGGAAGCTGAAGAAGGGTCGCCAATACTTTGTGAGCTGACATACAAACTTTCCCATCAGATTGAGTGATTGTGCAGGAAGCATTTCTTCCTTAAAATTGAATAACTTAAATTAAAAATTGTTTATTAAAATACACAAAAAAAAATTATCTAACTTACTAACACTGGAGAAAGAGTGGCATCATCGACCTGCAGAAATCCTGGCGTGACAAGTTCCATCATTTGGGATTCAAACAGCATCCGTTTGGTTGGATGTCGATGTGAGAATAAATTGGTTCTGGGAAGAACTTATCTGGGTATCCGGCTGGAAAATCCTGGATAATCTGCAAATATTTTAAAATTAAATACTCATCGCATCACGTATCCTTGTTGAAACTCATTATTTTGTACATCACCTAATTTGATTTTTGACTGGGTATTCTTCATACTAATTTTGTCATAAGACAGATAATAAATATTTTACAGAAATACGGTAGCTTTTAAGGTATCTGTTGCTTTTATAGGTTGTTTTGAAACGTGCAATTTGGGACATATTTTATATGCGCGTATATTTTGTATGAGCTTAGTTGTTTGCATTTTTGAAAGCGTCGTTGGTGACAACAAAGGAGTCAATATTGGATATGTATCTTAATGATAAGCACGTTCAACGGTTCAAAAACATTAGGCAGTTTGCATAAATATTTCCGTAGATATTTTCCGTGACGTAGCAACGTGATAACGTAACTTTAATTTTTTTGAGCATACTTTCATGATGAAAGTTTCATCATTTCATTTCTATGCAGAATTTATTTTTCCATCATTTTGGGAGTTTCAAAAAAACGCTACTAGATTTCAAGTCAATTGCTGGAAATTTGTTAATTAAACATTCATCAAGTTGATGTCAATGGTCTGCCGCTAATCATACCAAACATGCCTCTTTTCAATAATCCTCCAACGGGTCAATGTGGACAGGAATGGGTATGGTTGAGTCGTTCGAGAATTGAAGCAGTATTACGTACGGCCAGATCGTCGGACAAGAATGAAAACACTGACATTGATGAATGGTTGTAAAAGTATTATAAGATGCATGTTACGTTATTAACCCAATTCCGATATGTTCATAATATTCATGCATGCATACAATGTATGTATGGTTGATTCTTTGGAAGAGAAAGTTTCCCTTTCTCTCCCAAATCTGGGGTTTGGTGTTACACACCAACGTAATATCCTCACTGAATCGACATCTCCACAGCAGGCACACAAATGCAAATGTGATTTAGCTGGAGCAACCAACAGAGTAGCTGTAGCAGCACATATATTCATTCCCTTTGTGCAAAAATAATTTCTAGGTACGTAATTTGGTTTGGTGCTGCTGCATCAGCTTTTCTTTATGAAAGGTTGAACAACAAAATGTGGCATCGCAGCGCTTCGACATACATACATGCATATATTCATTTACTGGATTTCAGCAGAGATGTGGACTGGTGCTGCTTCATTCTGTCTGATGAGACGAAACTCTGTCATCCGTCGGATTTGGGATTTGTAATGAAACTACTCAAAGCCAGCTTTATTGTCTTTTCACTCATTGCGGTGCGGCATTCGGCCCTGTTTTAAACACAGGCGTCTATTGTTGTTTGTTTGTTGTGGTGTATCCGGATATGATAGGGACCAATGCAGACTAGTTGACAAAATTAAATTCCACTGACTGACTGATTTGGTCGAGTATGTGCTCAAAGATTGGCAATTAATTATGCATTTCACTTTCATACAGTTGCGTATGCAGGCTTGGCTGCTTGCAACAACCCAGCACAATAAATGATAATGGCAAATCGGTAAATGCTCATTCATCTCGACTTGGCAAAATGAGCATATGAACTGATGCAGCGTGGTGAAGTTGCAGTACAACTCCAAATAAATATCTACTTGAGATATGCAACGGTTTTCAGGAATCATGTGCTTAAATGTGTCGAATGTATAGAATAAAATTGCATAACGAATAGTGTAACTAAATCTAATTAAGATATCAATCATTAGGTAAATTCAGTTCCAACCCGGATGAGAAAGCTGCGAGAAAAGCTCCTGGCATACAAAGACACAAACGTTAATTTATTATATTGACACTTTGTGACTCCATATGCAGTCACTCAATGAGGGCAGTTTTCCAAGCTTTGTTTTTCATGTTGGATTTTTAATACTTTCACTCCACATCTTCCCTCTCCGCTCAAGGGGAGAAGAAGTATGCATTTGTTGCATCATAAATTTTGTAATAAGTTTTGTGCCACTTTTTATAGTCTTTGTTGTAGCCCACCCCAATCTGTCATATTGTTGTGGAAAAGCAGGAGGAGCTGGATTCATTTTGAAGTGAAAGCTTCAATTCGATGCCCTTCGGAGCAGAAGAGCCAGACCAAAAGAATATAATTTGTGCATTTCATGCTTGCTTTGAAGGATGGAAAGTGAATATAAAAGACGGCATGGCCCAAGAAGACGAAGCACGCCAACATGCAACGCCATGGGTATCGCGCTATAAACAAAAGGCGAACAAGTGAAAGCTCGCCACCACCACCGAGGAGAACCAAACTGTGATATTGGTCATATATTTAAAACCATCCGAACCGATCCACCACCAAGCCAACCCCTTATTCTAACTATCTTATTCAATTCTTCTGCTTCATCTCTACCCACTTTTTACAGCTTGCCAAACTTTTTGTTTATGGCTTTGAAAGAAAATAATTTCTTCCCATCCCCTTGGCTGCCTTCGTTGGTTGACTGCCACCATATCGCCCCGCTATCTGCGCCAAGCCATATGATGACGATACGCCATGCCACGTTCGGTTTTCTTGCTTGGTTTGCTGCTTAACTCGCGTTGGTTTTGAATTTAGGGTGTCTCTGCTCTGCTACATGCCGGCTGAATGCTCAGAAAGTAGTGAAAGCAACCATGCCAAGCAAAGCACAAAGTTTGAGAAGCTCGTAATTCTATAACCTCACTTTTGTCTCGTAGATCAATTTCTGGATGGGGAACTAAGAAGACTCTCGTGAATCCTCAACACTTGAATACTTAAATCTTGAATGAGTTCTGACTCTGTCATATTGTTCACTGCGTAAAACCGTCATTTAGAAAGTTACCAACTGGAACCTTAACTGGAACGTATTGATGGAACACATATCTTTGTCAAAGTCTGTCACGCCTGACATTTTATTTGCCCAAGTTTTCAAGTTTCTAGATATAAGTTTGGTTTACAAAAATTGTAATAAGCATTGTAATTCGGTTAGAAATTAAAGTTTCAGTAGCTTAAATTATATTTGACTATATAAGTCTTTAGCGCGCACATTTATTTGGTTAAATATTTATGTAAATATTTCAGCTCTATGTATAATACGCATACGAGTGGGATATAAAATAACGTACTCACAGACTTTCTTTCACTCTGTTCACTTTGTTCCGAAATAATTCTATCGTCACGTAAATGTAATTTTAATTTTATATCGACCATTTTTCATACTCTAATTTTTAGCCAAGGCAGGGCTTATGGAACCGCTATGTCCGTGTGTCTGCGACACGCCAGCGGAACAACCATTGAACCGATTTTGACAAACTTAGCGTTAAAATGCGTATCTCAAAAAAGTCTTGGATGAGTTCGAAGATGAGTCAAATCGGTTGACCAGAGGGGATCAAGTAAGAGGATGGGGTATTGTGCCCCAAAATTGACTCAGGTTAATCTGCACTTTAGGTTATTTGATTTATTGGATATAAATACAGGGTAGATTATGTAATTTTATCAATATGTGGCCCACTTATGTATAATAATGGACGTGGTTGATTTTGAGGTGAAACCAATAGTGAAATATGAGCATTAGGGGATGGACGGACCAAGGGAGAAAGTTCTTGCAAGATGTACATGCATTCATAGAAGAAAGCGGGTGCAAGTGGTTTTAACTACTTTCCTAAGTCTCCTCGCATAGGATGTGAAATTGGCTTCATAAAATGCAAAACAGTTTCAACTATCCTCAAGTAATGACCTGTTCTCTTATCTCATCTCCCTCCGACTGCTCCCTTCTCCTCAACATTCAAGTTACGCACAGTTTTCCCTCTTGCTCCTGTTCAACATTCACTTCGTATCTTGTAAACCATTTACTTTTCAACTTATAACAATGGGATGAAATGAGAGTGCAAAGCAGCAGACGAAAGTTGAGGCAAGGCTATCACGGACGCAACATTCGATTCAGACAAGAAAAAAGGCGATCGCTAACCAACTTTTGTGGTGTTTGTTCGTATAGTGCCTAATGCATATTAGGTACAAAAATTACTGCTAATTCTAACTACCATGCAAAGAAGTACTTACGAATCTAA